CCTAACACCTGTGGCAGCTGTCCTTATAATTCATGCAAGAAATGCTTCCTAGATAAGCCTTGCTATGAGAATAAACCATATTAACTATTTGGGACCCATGGGACCCAAAATGGGCTTCTGGTGTTGATGGTAAATCTTATTCATGGGGTTTTTGCCAAACACCCCTCAGCCTCTATTAGGATATGGAGAACTTATATACAAGTGTTCCCTCAAATTCACATAACCATCCAGGAGCAAGAGAAGGAACTCCAACACCAGCTAGATGCAGTTGCCCATCCTAAAGCTGACCAGTTTTCATTGATGTGTACAGTTTTGGATCATACTCTGTTAACTGAGATTCCCATTGATCTTCCTCTTAATATTTCAACCATAACCCAAGGGCCCCCTTCTCTAGCCTTTGAGTAGTACCTCTTTTGCATAACTCATCAGGGTATTTCCCTTGTTGCTACACTTTCTCTGGTTCAGCACCCTGTGACCATATTATTCAAATTTCTTCCCCAACCTTTACTCTGCCAGGGTTCTTTTTTTGGTGCAATGGTACCCTAACAAAAAATCTAAGTCTCAACATGTCCTTTGCTTTTGTGTTCCTTCCACATTGATCTCTCAATTAATTCTGTACAGTGAGGCTGAATTAACATGGCTTGTTAATTCCCTGGCCTTCTAACTTGCTGCCTCCAGACTGAGGGAAGGAGGACTTGGTTATGCAATACCTGCTACTCAGAAGCTTAAACAACAACTTCAGGAAGCAGTAGAGGCATCAGCCGCCTCTCTTACTTACAAAGGCAAGTAACATCTGTTGCCCAAATTTCATTACAGAAATGTAAAGCCCTAGGTCTCCTGACAGCAGACAAAGGAGGAACATATCTATTCCTGAGAGAAAAATGCTGCTACTATATCAATGAAACTGGATTGGTGAAAAAGAATGTTGACACCTGTGGTGAGCCGCTTCTGCCGTTTCTGCAGATTATGGTCGCCATTACAAGATGGCGCTGGCTCCGCTGTGGTTTGTGACAAACAACTCCTTATTTGGGAGAGTTGGCGCATGTTTTTTCACCACCCTATGAGAAAGCTCCACGTGGCAGCTTCGCATTGGGGCTTGAGATGCTTTATTAGGGCTGGGAGGGGCATCCGAGAGGGAGAAGAAGAAATATCAAAGGCCTGAATAAACTGCTGAAAGAAGATTCCTGAGTTGCGTCTTCCTTGCGGGCAGGGGGTCGCGGCAAGTGGTGCCGAAACCCGCGAACCAGAACTTTCAGCAGTCAGGGGTGGTGCACCGGTTAGTCCCAGGTAAGTGGGATCCGCGAACAAAGCGGGGTTAGTCCCAATAAGTGGGATCCGCGATCAAAGCGGGGTTAGTCCCAGGTAAGTGGGATCCGCGACCAAAGCGGGGCAGCTCCTCTATAAAGAAAGAGAGAGCATTACATTTTATTGCAGCTGCACTGTGTACTTTCGCTTCTACTTTCGCTTTTGTTTTCTGTGTTTCTTTTGTTGTGTCATTTCGCTTTTGTTTTTTGTGCTTCTTTTGTTGTTGTGTCATGGGTGCCGCATCTTCAAGTCCACTTCTCCTGGCCCTAGATGGCCTGTTACGTTCCAAGGGCTTGGAAGTGAAACATAGTACTTTACAGAGATTTTTACAGAAGATAGATATCGCTGCACTGTGGTTTGCATTTTCGGGCAGCCTTACTGTACCTAGTTGGGATAAATTAGGCAAAGATCTTGACTTTGCTTCTGAGCAGGGCATATTAGAGGGTGGGGTGATACCCCTTTGGAAAATGGTCCGTAGTTGCCTTACAGATGGCAGATGTCAGGAAGCACTTACTAAAGGACAGGAAGTTCTAGAGCAATTACATGAGGAGAAATCGGAGATGGCAGGAAGTGAGGTGCCTCAGGAGGATGGGAGTGTGCGGAGCGTGAAACAGGGGAGGAGACGATTGTCTCCGGCAAGAAGTGAGGTATCTCAAAAGGATGGGAGTGTGCGGAGCGTGAAACAGGGGAGGAGATGATTGTATGCAGATCTCAGTATGCTGCGCACACCCCCATGTGAAAGTGGGTCAGAGGAAGAGGAAGATGAGGAGGAAGAGCTCAAGAGGCTGTCTCATCAGCTAGAAAGTTTAGTTATAGGAGAAGGGAACAGAAATAAACAAAGGCTCAAGAAAAGCGATCCCCTGGATCCACCGCCGCATGGTGGGGGTGTTTCGGGGAGAGCTTTCCATGCCCAAACATGGAGGGCTGTTAACGCTGAGATGGGTCTTGCTTATCCAGTTTTTCAGGATGACAATAGGGGAAGATTCCATGAACCCTTAGATTTTAAAATTGTGAAGACCCTGGCGGAGTCTGTCCGCACTTATGGCATAGATGCCGCTTTCACTCTCACTCAGGTGGAGGGACTTACTAGATTTTGCATGACTCCCTCAGATTGGGCTAGTCTAGTCCGCGCTTGTGTTTCCCCAGGGAAATATTAGGAGTCCAAAGTTGGCTGTTTAATGTTTCTGGTAGTACCCAAGACTCGGAGCGAGGTAGGAGGCTTAAAATTACTGCAAATAATTCACAATTATCTAATGCTACATTACCCTCCGCAGCAGTCTGTCTCCAATCTCCGTTCCTGTTTCTTTTGGCTAATGTTACATCACAGGGGATGCTTAATTGTTCTAATATTACCTGTTACTTGTCTGAGTGTTGGAATGGATCCTGGCCTATGGCAGTGGTTATGAAAATTCCAACTTTTGTCCCGATCCCGGTTACTGCAGATCCAGAGTCATTTCCTATTGTTGAACTGATTAGAGCCCATAGAGATTTTGGAATTACGGCAGCTATAGTGACAGCTGTGGCAGTGTCTGCTGCTGCAGCAGTTACAGCTGGAGTAGCCATGGCCAGCCAGGTTCAAACTGCTGCCACCATTAATCAGGTTATTCAACAAACATCCACCATACTTGAATCTCAAAGTAGAATTAATCAACATATTTTATCTGGGATTCTGGCTGCTAATCAAAGGATAGATCTGCTTCAAGCTCAAGTTGAGGAATTGTCTGATCTAGTACATTTGGGTTGTATTGATCAACGTGCACATTTATGTATAACCTCTGTCAGATTTAATGATTCCAGGAATGCCTCCCGCATCATTGGCGAATATTTGGCCGGAAATTGGTCCATGGCAGCGGAAGACATGATCCAGTCTCAACTAACCCAGATAGCTGTCTTGAACAGTACCCATGTCGATCCCGTGACTTTGGGTCAATTCACCGATTGGATATCTTCTGTTTTTTCCTTCTTCAAAGAGTGGGTGGGGGTAGGCAATTTTGGGGCAATGTGTTGCTTCGGTGTTGTACTCTGTTTGTGGTTTCTCTGTCGCCTTAAGGCCCGTAGTGCTCACGATAAGGCTATGATCATACAAGTTCTTGCAGCTTTAGAAAATGGCAACTCACCTCAAGTCTGGCTTGCGCATCTTAAACAGTAAACCTTTGACATGGTCGTTACACCCCAAGTTATTATAACATTGCACTGGGATCGACATGACTTTCCTTGTTATTCTCTTAGTGTTGGAAAGCCCTTGCACTCTGCCGGTCTTACTGCCATTGCACGCAGATGGGTTTCCACACTAGTGCTTTTCTAACATCTTAAAGTCCGTGCCTTTCTTTCAGGGTGCTGTCAACTTGTTTGTCGTTATAAACAGCCACAGTGCAGCCTTAGCTATCCCCCTTTGTCCACCATCGTCACGATACAGGATGCGAGGCAAGGCACTGCACTTGAGTGATCCTTGACGTGGACCTCAAGGAGAGCATGTCCTATTGCATGCGGGTTAGACGCGTCCACGCCCCGCCCCACAAAAAAAGGCGTTGGCTGATATGGCCTCAGATCTGGGGAAGGGCCCTCCTTAGGACTGAGCCATACTATGCAGCCACTTCTGCACAGTGGGATAGGACCTCTACTCTCGCCTGTATTGTTTTTAGAAAACAGAAAGGGGGAACTGTGGTGAACCGCTTCTGCCGTTTCTGCAGACTATGGTCGCCATTACAAGATGGCGCTGGCTCCGCTGTGGTCTGTGACAAACAACTCCTTATTTGGGAGAGTTGGCGCATGTTTTTTCACCACCCTATGAGAAAGCTCCACGTGGCAGCTTCGCATTGGGGCTTGAGATGCTTTATTAGGGCTGGGAAGGGCATCCGAGAGGGAGAAGAAGAAATATCAAAGGCCTGAATAAACTGCTGAAAGAAGATTCCTGAGTTGCGTCTTACTTGCAGGCAAGGGGTCGCGACAGACACCCTCTGTCATTTGGATGAAAGTCTTAAACAGCAGAGATCAAATGACCTTTGGCAAGGCAGGGAAAACTCAACCCTCATTAGGTGGCTGACTCCTATTCTCACTCCTATATTAGTCATAGGTCTTCTATTAATGATTGCTCCCTGCCTCCTCATGTTCACCCAAAAGTGCAAGGGTAAAATTTCTAGAGTGACCTACAACCAGATACTCCTACACTCCTACAGTCATCTCCCCACTAAACCCACACCAGGGCCATCCCCTTTCCCCCAGTGCCCCTAGCCAGTAGTAAGTAATCAGATGAAATTCACTACCCTGTATTATCAAAAAGGCCAGGACATTTGGTCGATGGAGGTGGCTGAGGAACCAAGCACCAAGAAACCCTCACGCGGGAAAGAACTATCAGTCAGGTACCAACAAAACAGCCTGTTAATCAGTGGGGTTTACTGGCCCATCCTCAATCTTAGCCAACTCCCCTGACCAATGCTAGTAGAACAAGGGACTCTAAAAATCCCCCTTTCTGGTTGTGTGGGGCTACTGTTTTCGCTCCTCAGGGTCCGCGCTGTCAGTCGGGGGAGCGCTGGCTCTGCTGAGGTGTGTGTGTGGGGGGGCGGGGGGCTGGAGGACAGTACAGGCCCGTGGAGGGCGCTGCTGGCCCCGTGGAGGGTTGTGAGCCCACAGGGACTCCTTGGGGAAGAGGCCGCTGCGGGCAGATAGGGTGCAGAGGAGACGAGTGGTTGGTTCCTATGGCTGTAGAATCACTTACAGATGATGAAGAGGGTTATGTGACCTTTGAGGATGTGGCTGTCTACTTCTCAAGGGAGGAATGGAGACTGCTTGATAATGCTCAGAGACTCCTGTACCGTGAAGTGATGATGGAAAACTTTACACTTGTGACCTCTCTGGGTTGTTGGCATAGAGCAGAGACTGTGGAGGCTTCTTCTGAGCAGAGTGTTTCCACAGAAGGAGGGCAAAGTGAAAACCATCACCAACATCAGAAGCTGTGCTGTGGAGAGAAACCCTTAATAATTGAAGAGGACAGGGTCTCGGTTTTGAGGGGCTGCAGAATCCACCTGTCAGAGAAGCCTTTGCAAAGCAGGAAGGATGGGGAAGATTTTACACTCAGCTCAAGTCTCCAGATGACTCACCGGTAAAGCGGAGCCTCCCAGGAGCACTGGGACTGCAGAGGCCATTAATACTGGGAAAAGGCACTACCAATGCAGTGAGTGTGGGAAAGCTTTCGGTCAGAAATATTTGCTTGTTCAGCATCAGAGACTACACACTGGAGAAAAGCCTTATGAATGTAGTGGATGTGGAAAGCTATTCAACCATAAAGCCAACCTGTTTATACACCAAATAGTTCACACCGGAGAAAGACCTTATGGGTGCAGTGAATGTGGAAAATCCTTTAGCGGAAATGCTGACCTCATTCAACACCGCAGAGTTCACACTGATGAAAAACCTTTTACATGTAGTGAATGTGGAAAGGCTGTCAGGCATAATTCCACACTTGTTCAGTATCACAGAATCCGCACTGGAGTAAGGCCTTATGAATGTGGTGCATGTGGGAAGTTCTTTAGTTTCAACTCCAGCCTCATGAAGCATCAGAGAGTTCACACTGGAGAAAGACCTTATAAGTGCAGTGAATGTGTGAAATTCTATAGCCACAAGTCCAGTCTAATTAATCATTGGCGAGTTCATGCTGGGGAAAGACCTTATGAGTGCAGTAAATGTGGGAAGTTTTTTAGCCAAAGCTCAAGTCTCATGCAACATCAAAAAGTTCATACTGGAGAAAAGCCTGTTAAGTGCAATGAATGTGGGAAATTGTTTAGTGAAAATTCCAGCCTAGTTAAACATCAGAGAGTTCACACTGGAGCAAAGCCTTATGAGTGTAGAGAATGTGGGAAATTTTTTCACCACAGCTCCAGCCTTGTTAAACATCGGCGGATTCACACTGGAGAAATGCCTTATGAGTGCAATGATTGTGGGAAATCGTTTAGCCAGCGTTTCAACCTCATTCAGCACCAGAAAGTTCACATTAGAGAAAAGTATTGATGCTTCAAATGTGGGTAAACCTTTATGCACACCTCCAACCTTTCCACAACCCTGGAGAGGACACAAAACTAAAAGGCATTATGAATGCAGTTAGTGTGGAAAAGACTTTAATCAAAGGTCTGTTCTGACTCAGTGGCATAAACATCACAGCCCAAATAAATCTTATCAACACAGTGAATGTGGAGGAAGTCTTAAGCCAGTGGTATAAACTTGTTCCACACCAGGAAGTTCAAACTGGAGAAAGGCCTTAGAGTAGTGACTTGACAGAGAAGTACCAGAGACTGAATATCACTCATTCCAGACATGCACAGTGAGAGAAGGATGAGAATTGCTGCCACCATGCTTCTCCCAAGAATAAGGTCCTCTGCCTGTAGGCTCTAGGGAGAAGAGGAACTTGTATCCTGGCTACATAAGGTGGAGTTTCCATGTAACTAAGCAAAGAGGCAGGGAGGAACAGAATGTCTTGGTTCAAGTAAGACTGATTCTTGCTCTTCGTACTGAATGTTAGATAAATAAATATTTCATGTATACCTTGAGGACCAAAAAAAGAAAAGAAAATCCCCCTTTCTTGTCCCAAGGCTTCCCTTCATGCCCTAAGCCCAATAAAAATCCCAGTCCAGTCCAGTCCTGCACACTTCTCCTCAGACCCACCCTGTTGGTCTGAGAGTCTCACCTGGTAGAGAAATCTCAATGAAGCCTTGTTCAGGAGTCTTTTAAAATCTGCCTCCTTTTGGTCACTGCTGGCTGACCTTACAAAGGTTAGGGTGCAGAAAACTTGAAAGAATTCCATTGTTACACTTACAGCTTTAAAATGTTATATAATCAAAATCTTAAGTTGTCTCCAATTCATTAGAGAGTTGAAATATTGAAGACAGATTTAAAGATAGGTAGTCAGTGTAGTTAGGTAAATTGGGTCTAATATCATCGAGTAAGATCCAAAATGGAGGCCATGTTGGGAATGAAGTCTGGGAAAAGCAGAACAACTCTTGGAATGTTAATGTCCCCAAGGCCCAGAGCCCATCCCAAAGAAGTGTTAATGAAACAGCTGGCAGCAAACTTTAAAATGCTAACCCAAAAGTCCTTCCTGCCCAGATTACTCCTTTGGCCCACCTGTGCCCCACCATTAACAGAACAAAGGACAAGAATGTGACAGGAATGCAGGAAAGCTAAATGAAGACCTTAGCTATAAAAGGGGGAGACAGCCTCTCTTCTGTGGATTCCACCTCTTGGGTCCCCTTCTTCCTCCAGGAGAAGTCTTTTCTGCTGTCCTTTAATAAACTTCTACTTTCCACTCTGACCTTGCCTCAGCAGCGTGCTTCTCTGGTATTATACTTCAACATTGGGGAAGCAAGGACTCCTTACCAGTCAACCAAGGTAACAATATCAGGAATATCAATTCATTCAAACTGTAAGAAAAAACAAACTCCTCCAAAAATGGAGGTAAAAACTTATTTACTTGGTATAGCACAAAATACTGTCCAAGCCAGAAAGATGAATTCAGCTATAACTAGTAATAAGTTACTAGAAGCTTGTTTGAGCATATGGACAGTCTGGCAATCACAGATACAGGGAGAAATCAAATCAGTCTTTAAGCTCTTTTACATATACCTGAGCAGGGGCCCCTGAAAGATTGGAGTCTGGGGTGACTGTAATTGTCACAGAGAAAGATTGTTAAGACCCAACAAGGTCATTCTCCCTTATTTTTCACGCAAAAATATTCCTCAGTCTGGTGGAGAAAGGACAAATTCTTGAGGCCCTCAGGGCACAGGTTAAAGCCCATTGAAACTGAAGGAAAGAACAAAATGGGAAGAGTCAAGAGGACATCCTGCTCCTAAACTAAAAGAAAACCAGGAGAGCTTGAAGAAAGGCAGAAATGCTTACATGACCAACCCCCAAAATCTCACAAGGAAGTAACTTCCTTAAGAATGAGACTGAACCAGAACAAATAATAATGTGCTTACTTTTCTTAAACAGGGCAATGACATCAAGTACAAAACAGAGTACTATTGAGAAAGGGGAAAGGGCATAGGAATCACCCCAGGGTACATCACAAAGGAAATTCCAAACCCCAGAGGAGGTCAGGCATTAAGAAATACCTCTGGCAATCTAGCCCCAATCTCAAAACAGTAGTACTAGAGATCTTGCAGACTATTGAAAGAAAAAGAAAAAAGAAAAACACAAACCTAGTTTACTGAAGGCAACACACACACACACACACACACATGCAAACATGCACAAAAAATAAAAATTTATTTTCCTTAAAAGCCTCAATACTCCACAACCTTAGTTTAACTGTTTAACTCTTCCTTCCACCTAGCGTTAAAATACAGACATTGACAAACTTCAAACACTCACAGTATAAGCTTGGTGAAAGGAAAAACATGTTTAATTTGAGGCCAAAAATAAAATACAATTTACATCAACACAATTTAGTTTTTATTATTCTAAAAAGATATCTGCATTTTGAACAAAAATCAGTAAAACACACAGGTACATGCATGGCACGCACGCACACACACACACAAACACACACACTAAAAGATTTTTAAAAATCCCTAAAAGCTTCAAAATTCCACAGCTTCCCTTAACCAGTTTAGCTCTCCATGCCACCTAGTGGTGAAATACAGACATTGACAAACTTCAACAGATGTTTAAAGAGAAAATTTGCTGTTAATGTCTGTTCTAAACTGAAATTCTGAGGCCTGATGTAGAACGCTCACCTGCAATTACAGCTGTACATCTGTTGTAAACTTATCTTAACCACTACTTTAAGAAGAAAAGGAAAACTCAATTTGGTACTTTAAAGCTAACAATAATGATATGGGGATATTTGTAGTTGGGAATGTGCTATAAGTGGAGGATTTTATCTGATATGCATCTGGGATAATTTTCGCATATTTTGTCTTATAGTTATGATCAGCCTTCAATAAGATCTGCATACTGCATATGTAATATAAACAAGCCTAATTCCTCCAATCTTCTTTTTTAATTGTTATATTTGATTTGATTAGTTATACATGGCAACAGAATGCATTTATGCACTTGATACACCATACATAGATGAGATAGTTCTCATTTTTCTGATTTCAACAAAAATTCAACATTTTTTACATGTTGAAAAAAATATTGGTCATATAGTCACATATATTCACACAGTAGTTATGTCTGTTTCATTCTACTATCTTTTCTATCCCCATATCCCTTGTTCTCCCCTCCCATCATTTCCCTCTACCTACTCTAAGATAACACTATTGTTCCCTAGTGTCCCCCACCTTATTGTGAATTAGCATCTGCATATTAGGGAAAACATTCAGCATTTGCTTTTGTGGGATTAGCTTATTTTTCTTAGCATGATATTGTCCAACTCCAACTATTTATTTTGAAATACCATAATTTCACTCTTATTTAAAGCTGAGTATATTCCATTGAATATGTATACCACATTTTCTTTATTCATTCATCTATTGAGAGACACCTATGTTGGTTCCATAGTCTAGCTATTGTGAATTGATCTGCTCTAAATATTCACTATACTATGCTAGTTTTAAGTTCTTTGGATATAATCCAAGGAGTGAAATACCTGAGTTAAATGGTGGTTCCATTCCCAATTTTCTAAGGAATCTCCATACTGCTTTCCATAGTGGTTATACCAATTCACAGTCTCACCAGCAATGTCAGAGTGTACCATGTTCCACACATCCTCCCCAACAGTTATTGCTGCCTGTATTCTTGATGATTGCCATTCTGACAGGAGTGAGATGAAATCTTGAAGTAGTTTTGACTGGAATTTCTCTAATTGTTAGAGTTGTTGAAAAATTTGTCATATATTTGATGATTAATTGTATTTCTTCTTCTGTGAAGTGTCTGTTCAGTTCCTTATCCCTTTATTTATTGGGTTATTTGTTTTTTTTGGAGTTAAGCTTTCTGAATTATTTATATATCCTAGAGATTAATGCTTTATTGGTGGTAAATGTGGTAAAGATTTTCTTCCAATCTGTAGGATCTCTTTTCACTTTATTTATTATTTCCTTTGCTGAGAAGAAGCTTTTTAATTTGAATACATCCTATTTATTGATTCTTGATTTCCCTTCTTGCACTTTAGGAGTTAAAGAAGTAAGATCCTAGGCCAATGTGATGAAGAGTTGGGCCTCCTTTTTCTTCTATTAGGCACAATGTCTCTGTTCTAGTGCCTAAATCTTTGATTCACTTTCAGTTAATTTTTGTGCAGGGTGAGAGAGGTTTAATTTCATTTTGACACATATGGATTTTCAGTTTTGCCAGCACCTTTATTGAATAGGCTATCTTTTCTCCAGTCAATGGTTTTAAAACCCTTGTTTAGTATGCAATAACCATATTTATGTGGGTTTGTCTCTCTGTCCTCTATTCTGTACCATTGCTCTACAAGTCTATTTTAGTGCCAATACCATGTCATTTTTGTCACTATAGCTCTGTAGTATATAGTTTAAGATCTGGTACTGTGATGCCTCTTGCTTCACTTTTCTTGCTGAGGATTGCTTTAGCTATTCTGGGTATCTTATTTTTCCAAAAATTTAAATGATTTCTTTTTCTATTTTTATAAAGAAAGTCATTTGGATTTTAATAGGAATTGCATTAAATCTGTATGAAGCTTTTGGTAGTATGGCTATTTGGACACTATTAATTCTGACTATCCAGGAGCCTGAGAGATCTTTTCATCATTGAGGTTTCTTCAATACCTTTTTTAGTGTTCTGTAGTTTTCATTGTAGAGTCCTTTCACCTCTTTTGTTAGATTGATTCTCATTTTTTTTTCCTGAGGCTATTGTGAATGGAGTAGTTTTTCTAATTTCTCTTTCAGTGGACCATCACTGACATAAAGGAATGCATTCTATTTATGGGTGTTGATTTTATGTCCTGATACTTTGCTGAATTTACTTATTAGTTCTATAATTTTTCTGATGATTTTTTTGGATCTTCTAGATATATAATCATCAGCAAATAGTGATAGTTTGAGTTCTCTTATTCTATTTGTATTCCTTTAATTTCTTTTTTTTGTCTAATTGCTCTGACTAGAGTTTCAAAGATGATGTTGAATAGAAGTAGTAAAAGAGGACTTCCTTGTCTTGTTCTGGTTTTTAGCAGGAAGGTTTCAATTTTTCTCCATGTAGAATAATGTTGGCCTTGGGTTTAACATTTATAGCTTTTATAATGTTGAGGTATGTTTCTACTATCCCTAGATTTTCTAATGTTTTGAACATAAAAGTGTGCTGTATTTTGTAAGATGCCTTTTCAGCATCTATTGAGATGATCATGTAATTTTTGTTTTTGTTTTAAAAATAGTTTCTAATTA